TCTTCTAATTGTTCACAATAATGTATAGTCAATCAAACAATTAAAGATGTAACATGGAGTACCTCACATCTGAACAACCTCTATTCACTTGTAAACAAGTTAATTGTTGAGAAAACATGGAACATGAAAGGATGGAAACAATTCCGAAATTGTCATGTTTCCATCCTTTCATTGAATAATTACATATTTAATAGAAACTAAAAATTGTTTATTTTTGTACAAGGTGATGCAAGAGTAGGTACATTAATTAGTGAAGAATTTATTTTATTTTATTTTTTAACATTAATTTTTTTAATAAATTATTTAATTTCCAAAATAGGACAAACAATGTGGCTTAACAATTTCGAATAACTCAATTTACAGTATTACACACTGAACAGATTGTCTCAACCCTTTCCACTAACAAAATCATCAATTGTAATCCAATCTTTCGAATCATTTCTAATACTCAAAATCTTTCGGCAATTCGAAACAACACAAGAATCGATATAATTTCCATAATTAAATACTTTTTCCAGCACGTTTACAATTATATTTAAAGTGTTGACTTTCACTTTCGAGACTAAACTTTCCCAACAAGGTTTTGATAGGAAACTCTTCAACACATGAAGAAAGCTTGCGACTCGTAAGGCAGGACGAAACTGGTTTTGGTTGTGGAAAGCAGACGAAATTCATGGAATAATAGTCAATATTTCGTGCATTATTTAAATATCCAATAGAAATTGAGAAAAACTGTAGACTAAAGGTTTCGTACAATAAAACAAAAATTGTATTCATCTATACCAGTCTTTACCTTGCCAAATAAAATCATTAATTACGCAAATGGTAATAGACACTAATTGACATGGAGAAATTAGGAAAGTCTTGACACTAATTGGACGTAACTGTTCGAAAGTAGTTTATCCTAAACTCGCCTCATTTGAACAGGTATGGTGTTAGGTAGACACATTAGTATAGAGTAAATACATTTCAACAAACGGGTTCCATACAATTCGTTGAAACTACTTGATCTTCATTCATCTTCCGTAAGCATCTTTGAAAAAAAATACAACAAACTATTCGAAACAAAACTAAACAAAACTAAACAATGAATATCGAGCTCAATGACACATCTCCTGCAACTGTCGACAAGACAAACTCTTCCAACAACTTTCTAGATGCACACAATGATGTACTCTCTGGAAGTTCTCTCGATATCCACCACCATCCAAATTCTCCAACTTTTGCTGACCACCAACCAACTTCTCCTTCCTCACCTCCATCTGGCGTTAAATACAGAGAAGATTTCACCATCGATATAGAAGCTGCCAAGCAATCTGCCTCCAAGTCTACAACCTCCAGATCAAAGACAGTTTCGTCTTTGAAGAGTAGGGATTCAGATATAATTTTTACTATTCATACATGTGTG